CACATCCACAGCCTTTCCCTCATCCACGTTTGTGTCCTCCCAAATAAGCAACCCTCCTCTAATTACTCTTTCATCATTGGTCCCAATTTTGCTACATCCATGTCCAAATTTAGAATTTCTGATATTTACCTAGGTCATCTCAGCATTGCATGGTATTATTGATATAGTTACCCAAGCAGTGTTGCCCTTACAAGATTCCACTCCCCAAAAGGTCCTCAGTGCTCCCACTTGTCTATGCAGCTTGTCCACCTCACTTAACTCCCCCTTAACTGTTTATGAAATCCAGCTGTTCCTCACAGTGTTACTCTAATGTCTGTCAACTTCTCACCGTTTTATTTGTGTTGAGCAATTTTTCATGCCATGTCCAGTAACTACTCACGATCTGTTCAGCTAGACTTCAGCCAGACCTAAGCCAAGGGCCTAGTCATCTGACTGTGTACCTAGTCATCTTAACAGCTACCTTGTTAAGGTTAGACTCAAATAAAATGCACAAAAGAAAGACATTTCAGTAGCTTTTCATAATCTCATATTGGAGCACACTTTGTCACTAATGTTAGCTTTCCATTCATCCAAGAGCGCTAGCCTTCCGTTCTCACTGATTCCCATGTAGGGTTGACAGTGACGGGACCCCATTCTGGTTTGCTTAAGACCTATGCTCAGAAATAAATACAATTAGTGACACTCACCGAGGGGCTGCTCTGGAGATTTATCTTTCTATTAGATATAAAAATACCCACGGAGTTGGTGAAATTATGTACTGGCTGGGGCGTAAATAAGCATACTTTTCTATTAAAAATGGAGCAACCTTAATATGCAGGTAATTACAGCCTTCACCTAAATACATTCCTAAACTAACATAACCAGCCTACTTCATTCATTTACAGTATTCCTTTAGATGATGTACTTCTGTTTCAGAGAACATCTAGAAGAGTTCAATAACATTCCTGACTATGTTTTTTTCTTCCTTTAACAAGGAGCTCAAGACTCTTGCTCACACCGGTGTGGGGAGCTGCTTGGTACCTGTTCTTGCCAGGTGACGTGCCAGTCCTTGAGGATTTGCTGTCCTGATTATAAAGAATTTTGTCTTCAAATTTCTCCATACTCAGGATCTCTGATGGGAGGCAAAGACTTTTTGATTGAAAATACAGCTCTTAATGCCTCTTCTGTGCTAACATGCAGGTGGGCCATGATTTTATGTTCCTCTGCCAAAGGGAGGTGAACCTTTCTAATCTCACTTTCCAACAATAGATAATTACTGCAAAACAAGACTTGTCTATACAGGAGTGAAAACTTACTCTGTAAACTTGTCAGAATCCCCAAACACACAAAAGTTCTGCTAACCCTCACTCTCAAGGATACGTGTTGTCTGTATTTCTACACAGGATCATTTCAGTTAGTTCGAGTTATTGTGGGATACAATCATTACTCTGCTAGTTCTTCCCTTAAGGTATCAAAACAGTGACTTTTCTACAAGAGCTTCCTTTTGGGGCTCTTTGTTGTCAATATTTTTTTAGCATTTCCATTTTGTGAAAAAGAAATATTAATTTCTTAATCTGAATGAGAAAGCAACGGGAAAGAAATGTAGGTAGGACACCTTATCTTTTTCCTGTAGGACAAAGCTGTGGATCCTAAGCGTGTCAGCCTTTATCACACTTAGGTACATGTCACACATGCAATACATACAGTACACTGAATTTTACTGACCCCGATGTCCTGACATTCTTTCCACAGAAGGTTCTGAGTGATATTTTGGAGTCCTTCCCATCTGAATAGCAGCACCTGAAAAGGTTTTTAGTTCTTTGTCGGGAAAACCTTTGACCCAGGCATTCATTCTGTAGAACACAACTGTGTACCTTGAATTACCTGCACGGCTGCATTATCATAGCCAATACAAACTTCAGTGCAGACAAGCAAAGGTACTTGGAATAGCTATGCAGCCACCATACATCAATCCTGAAGAGTCACAGGTGGGATTATACTTTAGCGCACTGGGCAAGAGCCCTAACTGGAAGCAGATGGTTAAATAACAAGCAATGAGTTCTGAGTTAATCTTTGCAACAGAAATTCTAGAACAGCATGAAATTACTTTTGTTGTATTCAAAGGACTTACCAGCAAAACCCCCCACAAAACCAGAAATTTGCAATGCCTGCATATCATGGTCAATGTTAGCCACCTTGTACTCCTATTAATCCTATAACATCACCTTTGTCTTCCTGCTGTCCCTTTGTTATTTGTTGCTAATTTATCATGCCCCCTTCCCCCGGTAATTAAATAGTAAATCTAAGGCTTGCAGATTGCTGTGTATTTGTGCAGTGCACAGCAGAATCCGCACTGGTGTAATAAGCACAAAGTACACATGAATTTTTCCAGTTTATATTCACTGCCACAAGCAAAACAGCCAGGGATTTGGAATGATCTCCACATGACACAGGGTTGCTTCATGAAACACAACTGAGACATTCAGAATTTACCTTCTCTCAATGGTGACACTGAAAACTGTTTTCAACATCAACAGGTTCAGGCAGAAAATCAAAACCAGTGGCTATGTTGCTAAGGATGGAAAAGCCCACTGCATTTCCCCATTGCTGTATGAGACTGGTTTCATCCCTTTTGAAGTTTCTACAGATGATGGGCTGACGTTTCCGTACTCTGGAACTTGGTTATCAGGTTACTTACTTAAATCTACAGTATCCCTCTTCTTTCTATATTCTTGCTCCAGGGATGCAAGATTATATAAGCCTTTCCCTTTTGATCACTTTTCTTCTTCCTTATCAGGCTGTTTGACCTCAGAAAAGTCATTCTTGCTGCCCTCGTGTTAATTCATATTTTGAGAGATGAACTTTCACAGCAATTGAGTTCTGCTGCTATACAGCAGCAGCAGCATTAGCTCAAAAAAAATCCTGCTTAAAAATGAGGTTGACTAAAACAGTTCCCTTTTTGTAGCTACTTCCATCGGAAAATAACTGCATCATGGTGGTGTAATCTGAGGACTACAGACGTTAGTAAGGGTTGCGTTCTCTTAGCGTCAGCTTACTCTTTTTATATCATGCTTCCTATTAGAAAACATACACAGGGGAAATACCGCTAAATCTTAAATAATATAGTGGCACCTTTTCAGAGCTATGCAAAGCAGAAATGTCATTAATCTTTTTTTTCTGTTCTGTAATGCAGTACATCACAGCAAAGTTTCAGATGGAGAAAAATGCACGTTGGTAAATATGACAAAATGGCAATACTACGGCACCCCCAACACTGATGGAAACTTAACTCTTACCTGGACACACCAGGCACTTGCAGCAACCCACATCAACATAGAAGTCTGGGGATACCAGGAAACAGGTAAAGTGACTCTTTTCCTACCTGTGCACAAGCAGTTATCACATGTGTAACTTATGTGCAGAGCTCTGCACAGCATGCGATCACTTTCACTGAGGCCTCAAGAAGAGATCTGCAAGTATAACTACTTATGACAATAATGTCAGCTTTTCCTCTTCATTTACATATGGGTGGAGACATCTAATTTCAATCTTGTGGTAACTATTCTTTTCCAGCATCCAAAACAATTTTCTTCCTCTATGTGACAGGTGGCAGTTACTCGGAAAACTGGTTGGCTGAATGGAAATATCTTTATACTTTGGCAAGAGAAATCCCCAATACTGGGAAGTTTTCTTTCATTCCTGTACCCGCTAAAGGAAATTACAATACGTGGGACTTTGGAATTTTGAGAATTACACCCAGCAGCTATTCTGACGGGCAGAGGCAAGTACATCACAACATTCATTTATCATAGGTACCTTATTATTGCTTCCTGTATTAAAGCTGCTGTCTCCTTTGATGTTTAAAACTGGGACTCAGGCTCCATTTCACATGAAAAAGTGGGGAGAGAATTGGAAGGGCAAAAGTGAAAAAAACTCATGGGTCGAGATAAAGAGAGTTTACTAAGTAAAGAGGGGGATGGGCATGGAGGAAGTAATGCAAAGGCAATCATTCACCACCTCCCACAAGCAGACCACTGCCCAGTCACCCAGTAAAGCTGCTTTGGAAAAAGTGCCCTGCAGTTTTATTGCTGAGCGTGGTGGTCAATGGCACGGAATATAATTTTGGTCAGTTTGGGTCAGCTGTCACAGCCGTGTTCCCTCCTAGCCTCTTGCCAACCCCTACCCTACTCCCTGGGGGCCACCGTGAGAAACAGAAGACGTTGACATTGTGCAAGCACTGTTTGGCAATAGCTAAAATGCTGGTGCGTTATCAGCACTGGTTTGGTCACAAATGTAAAACATGGCACTGTACGGGCTGCTATGAAAAAAATGATTCCAGCCCAGTCAAACACAGTACCCTTGGCAAACTAGGACCTGCTGATTTCTTTTGTCACAACTGTGGAGGCGGCCCTAATTGTGGAACTTTTGTCACTGCAGCCACAGGCCTTCCTCTGCATTTAATTTTTTTCTATTTTGTATGCAGGCCTTTGCATTCCTACAAATTTTATACCCACTTCCTTTTATTTCATTGTATATTCCCCCATGATTTTTGGTGATTTACCTCTGTAAGTGCTCCATACATATTCTGACCTTAGATAGATGATCTTCCACATGTCTGCAGTTTTTGATGTAGATGGTGTAGCCCCTGTGAATATATAAATGCCACCTCTTCAGTGTTAGAACATATTACTAATACATCAGAACCTTTTTTAGCATTTAGGAATTGCTACCCACAGAAGGGTAACTTTTTCTCTTTCTAGAGGGTTTTTTTATTACACTTCGTGTATGGTATTTTTTCATGGGTGGAAAGCAGAGTAGCCTTGGAAGACCTGAAGGATTCTGAATGGTTTCTCCCCATCTATTGCCATCGGGCCTGATACTACTGGGGCACAGGGTTACGTTTTGTTACAGAATCTGGACGTTCTTCATTCTGGCCTAAAAAGAACTACAATGCGAAAAGGCATGAATAGAAAACCTGTCTCTAAAAAGATCCATGTAAGCCAGAATCAAAAATGCTAAAATGTATTCTGATTACTGCATACTTGCTGCATGCTGTCATGTCACCTTCTAAATTAGGAAAATTTTGATATGCTGTAACTTTCTGCAGGAAAAAGAAAGCAGTGGCCTTTGTAATGAAATAACAACTTGCAAGTTGAAAGATTCTTCGTAATTATAGTTAGTGATTAAGACACAGTGTTACTGTCAAAACAGTGCTTGTTCAGCTATCAGATCTATTTTTTGGCTCTTTTTTTTTCCCAGCAACATTCCATCAATCTGGAGCTCAGAGCATGCGTTGGCTTGGCACCTTGGGAAAGACTTCAGAAATGACCCAAATGCATGGGCAACTGCAAAATGTATAGAATGGGACAGAAAGGAGGAGAAGCTTCCAAACTTCATGGAAGAAATTATAGATTGCCCTTGCACCTTGGCACAGGCAAGAGCTGACACTGGCAGGTTCCATGTAAGTTATTAATTGATCCCTCTGGCTTATTACAGTTCCAAGTAGAAGCTTAGGGAATGCCATACTCCCCACACATCCCTGTTCCCTCTCTAAAAGTCATTACAAGCAAATGAAATTGTATTTAAATTTGCACAAGTAGCATATGAAATGGCAGAGGCAGATACAGCTTATCCAGGTAGCATGAATAAAAAAAGTGCCTGTAGGACAGCAGATGGAAATCATCTTCAAACAGGGAATTAAGACAGTAGTTCCAGTGGTAGACAGAAAACACTCAGGGAGGGCAGTGAGCTCTGTGGAGCTGGGCGCACGGATGACTTCTTCGAGATCCTACAAGATGGCGGTCTGTGTTTGTAAGCAATATCCCATGCCTGAAGAAGCAGGCCACATTTCTGCCTAGTATACCATAATTTGCTGCAAACCCTTCCGCCTTGTACTTCAGAGCTCAAGTCCACAGCCGTAATCCATTATTTCTTGTCTCCTGCTTCCTTCCTCCTTCTCAGCTTCACTGTTAACAAGGAACTCACAAAAGCTAAGAAATCAATTGCCATTTAGTCTATGCTTTCACTTACAGCACTGATCTGAGGACCAGACAGGGTAACTTCCTCTCCTATTTATGATATGGCAGTGTGTTTATGCATATTAAAAAAAAATGTTAGGTAATTTTGTTACTATCCTTTCCTGGTTATGAAACTCCAAACATGACGTGTATTTTAAATGATACAGTTAAAAGCACGTGAAGAAAAGAAATTAGATCTACTGCACTCCCTCCGTCTAAGAACATAGGACAAAAGTTAAGTTTAGTCTGGCGTGATCTGTGTTTGTCATGCCCTTACAGTTGAATTCCCTATCTAGCTGCATCCGTTCTTCAAGGTCTGTTGTAATAGACTGCAAAATGCTCAGGTTAGACTAACACGTTGCTCCAATCGCTTCAGTATTAAATCCATTGTTTTTCCTATCATTCTGTGCTACTCAACACACAGCCGCAACCCATTCATTTAGACTTTACACATAGGTCAGAGACAAAGGGTGGGGAGAGGGCTTAAAAATAGAAACGACAATGGGGAAAGAACCCCATTAAGCGTGAGCATTCATCTTTTTCAGACAGATTATGGCTGTGACATTGAAAAGGGAAGCGTGTGTACTTATCATCCTGGCGCTGTGCATTGTGTAAGAGCTGTTCAAGCCAGGTAAAGAAAATTTTTTAAAACTGCATTTTTTTTATGACTTGTTCCACCTCAAAGATAGCAGCGTCACAGAAGCCACAAAGGTCTCTGCACTCTCAACTCTCAGGTTCATAGCAACCATTGTTTCCCTCTTATTCACGTATTGGCCCTCATTGCTGAGATGAAGTTATGGCCTTAGATTTAATAAACAATTAATTGCACTGTGCTAAACTTTAGGATACCTAAACAAGTGTTAATGTCTCAAAGAGGTTTGATTAGGCCTAATTAAGCCTTTCCTGTATTGGTCTACTTAAGTTCAACAAGTTATTCTTTGCACTCTTTCTATCAGAACAATTTTAAAGAGTGCTATGTTTGTATAGCTATAAGGCCTACAAAACTTCTTTACTGCCTTGGTTAAAAACCCCTCCCTCCCTATCCCTAATCTGGTCTAATTTATAAGAACAGAGGTGGGGCGGGGAGGGAAGTCTGACTGCAAGGTGTCATCTTTGGACATCATCTAAAGCTTTGCAATCAAAACATTTAGCTATATCCATAAAAAGGAAATAGGTAACCTCTAAATACGAATCGACTTCACAGAGCTGAACGATGACTTTCTTCTCACTGCCTTTCTCAACCAGTCCCCAGTACGCGGCAGGACAGCAGTGTTGCTATGACTCCACAGGGACCCAAATCCTCACGCATGACTCCACAGGAGGCAGCACACCTGATCGAGGCCATGACTGGGGTTCACCGCCTTTCATGAAGCCTCCCCGGATACCTGGCTTTTCCCATTGGCTTTATGATGTCATCAGCTTCTATTACTGCTGCCTGTGGTCTGATAATTGTCACTTCTATATGAAAAAGCGTCCCTCCAGTGACTGCAGGACGTATCGCCCGCCTCGAGCTGGTAAGGGCTTCAGAATTCCATTATGGAGTGTAGCATTTTGATACAGTATTGGCTTTTAGAATATTTGTATATGTATGTATGTCAGTTGACAATGGTGAGGGTACAATGTCCTGTGGAAAATTTCCGTGGAAGGATTCTATTGATCTATCAGTGGCAAAATCTGTATGTGGTTTTTAATTGTCCTGCAAGATTTTCTGCTGTTGAGTATCTCATTAATCCCTGGAATAGCCGAAGTTTAGTAGTCAATGTCCATGACTTCCTATCATCAATGGACACTTGTCTCAGAAAGAAGATTGTTAGGGATGGTTAATGACAGCTTGGCAGTAGCTAGAAAAGCTGTCATGCTGAAAAATGCTACTCATATCAAATATGGAAGTTCTATCATTTACAAGTATGTCTATTGTTCCTGCCCTTGCTTTTAAGTAGTCCTCAAGTCTTACCATATCTCTCTTGCTGCCACATGTCTTGCTTTCTATGCTGCTGGGGTGCTGAGGTGTCCAGCAGGATTGTGGCCTCCCGTAAAGAAGGAAAGTGCAAAGAGGCAGCGGTTTGCTTCAGGCAAAAAGGAGAAAACTGCAGAGGGCTCTGAAGGAGGTAGCTAGGATGTGATGTGACACAACACAAGACTCTCGCAGGACTAGCAATAGCACAGAGTTAATGTCTTTCCTGATTTCCCCTATCAAATTTTCCTGTCTGGAAGCAACAAAGGAATAGGGAGCTGGGAGCCAAGTGTGATAATAAGGTTGGAAGGGCAAGGTCCTTGCTAGCCCATGGCCCAGTCCCAAGTGAGGCGAGCAGGGGCGGACACGGTGATGGCAGCAGCAGTCAGCTGAGAGTCCAGATCTCCAGATGAGTTCATAGTGATAAGGCAGGTCCGAAGGAAAGCTGAGAAGTCAGTCTGCCGGACAAGGTCAAACATCTGGTCCAGTGGTGGTAACCAGGGTGAGACACAGTCCAGCGATTGTTGGGCAAGTCCGTAGTGACAAGGCATGTCCAAGGACAAGGCAGAAAGTCAGCCGCAGTTCTGTGTGCAGATCAGCAGGGTCCGTGGCGAGGCGCAGGCATGGCTGTGTTGGAGATGGAAACGGGTACACCTATGACATAGCTCAGGCAGGGACTGAAGGCCTGGGCCTGAGTTTAGATAGAGCCCATGGACAGAGGGTATAGGTAGAGGCCCCAGTGAGACTGGTTAGTGCAATTAAGGCCTATGAGTGTGCTCAGGGCCCTGACAGTTCCACTATGGGAAAGAAAGGCTACAACATGCCTCTCTTAAGCAAAGATCTGTTGATGACGGATGTGAAGCACATGGTCTTGCAAAAAGATTCCCAAGTGTACTTGTGCCATTACATCCATCTCTCAAACATGACAAAAATCCATCATGCAGCTCTCACTAAGCACTGCAGATGCTTATCTTTCTCCTAGAAAGTATATGCCAAACTGCCTGTGCTACTGCACAGCCAGGACAGTGTTCCTTAACCTTGTGCAAGCCTAAGCATCTGAGAAAACTAATCCTCAAACCAAACCTCAACTAAACCTCAAATCCAAAACCACAGAACCTTCTGCAAAGATCTTAATGCTGAAAGCTTCTCAGAGCATGCCAAAGATGGATGCGGTGCAAAATCAGCTCAAACAAAAAAAGTTACCTACCTTGGTACTTACAGAACTCTCCTGGAACGTGGGATGCTGGGCTTAAACACCGTATCTGCCCAATGTGGAGAAAATACTTGAACCTATCACTCAGGGGCAGGCCTTATTTACCATGATTTTCTGTTGTGAGTGTTCGTTTGCTACATGCATTTTGGTCTGAAAACCCCAAGTGAATGCACTAACTGCTGAGGAGAAAAAAAATGGCCTTCTTTCCCTTGGTCTAATGAACCTGATTTACAGAGGGGACTCTTTCTCTAGGGAAAAAACAAAATACTTAACAAACAAGCATTTAAGGACCTACCTAGCATATAGATATCTTTAGTCGTTGAGAGTCATTCCTCGGATAAGATGACACAACTTCAACTTTTTTTGCTGGAGGGGAGAAGGGCCTTCTGACCTCTTACTGATCTAAAAGGCAAAACCAAGGATATCTGCTGAACTCCAGAGAGGCTTTGGGGCTGAGGATCACTGCCCTTAACAAACAAGCATTTAAGGACCTACCTAGCATATAGATATCTTTAGTCGTTGAGAGTCATTCCTCGGATAAGATGACACAACTTCAACTTTTTTTGCTGGAGGGGAGAAGGGCCTTCTGACCTCTTACTGATCTAAAAGGCAAAACCAAGGATATCTGCTGAACTCCAGAGAGGCTTTGGGGCTGAGGATCACTGCCATCTCTCTCTGTTCAGGCCAGATGAGACTTCAAAGCCCCATCCCATTTCTTTGACGGTCGCTTTCAGCTACATTTGGAAGCTGCTTCTGGAATAGCCCTGTGTTCATGTCCAAATCTCCCCATACATTGCATGCAAATCAGGCTTCTAGCCTGACAGCGTGGATTCTGGTAGGGGGTCTGCCAGGTAAGCATTGCTGCCCATAACAGCCTTTTAAAGTGCAGCCCTAAATGTTGGCCGATGAAGATGAGAGTTACTGGAATGACATTTCTCACTGTTCCCACAGTGCTGTTCAAGGTTGTCATGGCTATCCTCATGTCACATTTACCATGGATCAGCTTTCCATTTTTTCCTTTGTTTAAATGCCATTCTTTGTATCACCACAATGAGATTTTTTTTTTCTCGTGAACCTAAGAAGAGGAGTAATGGGTTGTGGTTTTTCCTTGTTCTTTTGTCTCTTTTGCTTTTAAAAACAGCATCTGCTTTTGGGGATCCTCACTTCCTCACATTTGATGGTCTGAACTTCACCTTCAAAGGCCAAGGAGAATACACATTGGTAGAGTCTGATCTCACATCCCTAAGAGTGCAAGGGAGAACACAGCAGGCACACTTTCCCAATGGTAAGTCGGTAAGAGAGGAAGCAGTGATGACAAATAATAGCTTCTGAGGTTGCTTGATTTGCCCTTTACAGCATTCCTCCTATCTTCTCTAGTCTTCTCTTATTTTTTTGGCCATTTGTGAAAGGTCAACGTTTTGAAGCTAATCAGAAGGCAGACAAAATGTTCAGGAAAAAACCAGCTTCCCAATCAAAGATTATTTGCTAGTTTTATTGGGTATGAGTAATGGAAGAATAAGGTTTTCTGTTGTGTTTAAGAGCTCAAGAAAACAATTCTCATTTCTCTCCATGCCCATTCCCATCTATAAAGAAACATAAGGTCAGTTCTAGGAATCAGTCAAGAGCCGTAGCTCCCAGCTGATGCATTTTGATAGTATTGTAGCTGAAAATTAATAGGAAGCAAGTAAGTGTATGCCCTGCTTTATTTTCTTTCTGTGTTAGGTGTATACGCATGTGTTGACAGAGCAAAAATATCCCAGAAGGAGCTGAGAAAACATACTTTGGGTGGGGAAAAAATTATTTCTGAGCACCTCAAGCTAGCAGAAAAGTACAGAATGTCTGGTGAGAAGCTGGTTAAGGGAGTCATTTTTTTATTCAAAGGACCTGATTGTCCTGGTCTTTTGGCTTGCTTGTAAAACGAAACCTAGGGCAGAAGAAGCTTTCTGGAGGTACCTGTGGCCTTCATCAGTTGAATAGGCAGACTGCAAACCAGCCTGTAAGAAGGAAATTGTCATATACCTGCATTTTAAAATGAGGGAAAAATAGAGTATGAAACAGCAGAATGGGATCGTGCTTCTCATGACAACCTGAAAAGCCTATGTCAGGTACTTTTGTTTATGCTTTTTCTGTATCTAGTGCTATTTTATGGTGCGTAAAATAGCAGGCTTGCCTCAGGAAAGAATATTCCAGCTGGGCTCAAGGATGCACTTCAAGGATTTGGTACTTCTGGTAGAATTATAAGGATGGACTAAAAATTGTCTGTGCGTTTCGGCACCCATGTAGACATGAATGCTTATACTAAATATCACATTGGATAGGATGGAGATTAACAAGGAAATATTTTGCCCTTGATAGATTTTACTGTCTTTGTGGTAGAAGTGGCATGAGTCACTGAGCAGTTCATTCTGAAGATCAGTTTCTTAAATTTTTGTTCACTCTGTTTCCTTTTTCTGTCATGCCCTCCCTGATATTATCTTTGATTTTCCCAGGCCTTACTCACAGGACTGAATGTGAGATCAACTGGTCTTCTTTCGTAGCTCAGCCACTGCCATTCACTGGCATGAAGAATTTAGAATTTCCAGACTTTTTTAGCATTAAACATTCTGCTTTCAATATACTATACTGGTAGGAGACTTATACTGTGGGGTTTTATGTGACTTATATGCTTAGCAATTCCCTCAAATATAAATAATCATATTCAATTAGTTTTAGAAAAAATCTGGGGTTTTTTTGCCCCAGTATAATATATATAAAATATATAAA